TGCCTTTCCTGCCTGGTAGGCATGAGAAGGGTAATTGCTTTGATAATGAGGAAGTCAACTGAGACAGCCTTTATAAACTAAATTATTTATGAGGTATAGTCATGCAATTCAAATGTGTGTGAGTATTCCTACTATGACTTCTTGTTTTTAAATTCAAAGCTATTAACTTTAGGAAAAGACACAAATAGAATATATTTATCACACTGAAAGAAAATAAGTTGAAAATTTATTAGACTTTTCTATCAGAAACAAAATATCCCCTATTTTCAAATAAGAATATTAAATTTGTAAGGCACTTTCTGTTTTCATATTAATATTCTCTTTACAGCTTATATATGACCAATAACTTTAATATAGTTATTCTACACACAGGCATACTCAAACTGATTAAAAATGAACAGTGGAGTTTTCTTTTGTACTACATGATTTAAATATCAGTAACTAAGCTTAGTCCTGGTTACATGTAATATTTAATCTTTTAATTCACAAACTGTACTCAGCAACAATTTGAGAAGGAAAAATTGAGTTTAATGCACTAAATTTATTATATTGGCTGGTACAATATGCACATCTGAAAACACTTAGCCGTGTTATTTGAAAAATCTTATTTATCATTTTATTTTTCTAATTTTGCTATTTCAGTGCTTTATATAACCATCAATTACCTCACTTTTTCCTCTCCATTTTTACTTTGTCTTTCTTTTATAATTTTCAGTAGGTAAAAGACTGAAGAAAAGAAACAAAAGCAGGTAATGGATTTGAAAACTTCTTCCTGATTATTGAAGTCAATAATTCTTTTGACTGCCACTGCTATAAGGTGTTGGTCCTGTGATTCCAACAAGGCTAATGGGGAGAGGGAGAAGGAGACAGATATGGGAAGGAGAAAGATCTTAACTGCATGAAAGTAGTGGACATCCCTGACCGCATGGTATAAGCTCTCAGTTTTTCCATTTTGAGACAGCACACTCTTGTAACCAAGGGCACACCTAGCTGATCAATGCTTCATATCAGAAAATGTCTCTCGTCATTTGGCAAACTTTCAATTTAAAAGACAGACCACCCTCAGAGGCCCTGAAGGCAAAAACCAGGCATATTTGTGTACTGATTGCTGGCTGTCTTTCTGTACCAACCCACAGACTGTGGTAAAGCTGTCATACTGCAGAACTCTCGTCCATCCAGCCTTGAGTTACCAGTTACTGACTTGTAAACGATCAATTGGTTGGACATTTTCTTCTCCTGTTCTCACCTACTGAAGGCTGCTGCAAGCCCCGTCTTGTAATCACTTGTAACCACCTCCAGAAGATGAGTTCCTCAATTCTTTCTAACATCTTACTAGACTTGGGATGGAAATGCTACATAACACGGCCTTATTTTTTTTTTTTTTTTCCAATTTTCTATTGTGGTAAAAAACCATGTAACATAAAATTTACCATCTTAACATTTTTAAGTGTACAGTTCAGTGGTATTAAGTGCATTTATATTGTTGTGCAACCATCCTACCATCGATCTCCAGATCTTTTTTCATCCTACAGAACTGAAAATCTACACTCATTAAACACTAGCTCCCCGTTACTCCTTCTTTCCCCCTCCCCCAGCACCTGGCAACCACCCTTCTACTTTCTGTCTGTATGATTCTGACTGCTCTAAGTACCTCATATAAGTGGACTCAGACAGTACTTGTCTTTTTCCTCCCTTCTTCTTTTCTACCTTCCTCAATTCCATTTAATCCACTTCAAACATGACTTCTCTCACGCAAGAGGTCATTCTTTTGACCCTCTTCCTTTCCCTTTCTTTCTGGGAAAAAAAAAAAAATTAAATCTTGCAGTGCCTCCTTCTGCCCTTCCTCATTCCATTTAAAAGCATCCCATTAAAAAAAAGCGGGGTGGGGGGGAGTAACTGGGATGATTTTCTAATCCTTTCATATAGGTATGAGTTTCAAAGTGTAATTAACCCTACAAAGAACTATAGCTGCCGACATCTAAAGTCTCTAAAATAGCTAAAAGTTCTTCTCAAAATCTCCATAAAAGTTTTAACTCTTTACTCATCTTTAATTATTTCCCCTCAACAAGAAATGTGCTTTAACTTACTCAAATTGCTTTTTCTTGAACGCTGATTCTCAGCACTCCAATAATAGTGTTTTTCTCTTATTCCAAGGGAATTGTGCAGATTTCAACTGTTACGGGTTAAAAAAGTCTTTGAGGACTAGAGTCTGGGAGCCAAATTACAACATTTAATACTGTTTCTCCAGGAAAGTGTTCTAAGTTCCACAAAGCTCCTGAGAAATGAACTTCTAGAACACAACTCATTTATAAACTGGAGGTTAAGTGTGTATTACACACTCCCCATAGATTTTCATTAGCAATTCAAAGCTGAAAGCAGTTGGCCAAATCCGTGCCACAGGACATACACTGAACAATAAAAGAAGCAGAAAACCAAATCACAGCAGCCAGCATGTCCTCCAGATCCCCTGTCACAGTATATGGCCATCAGAGCTCAAAACTACTAGCCAATATGCCAATCCTACAGATTTTGTGAACACTCTGTGACTATGAGGACCCGTTTGTGTTTTTAAAAAATTTTTTAATTTAATTTTTTAAATTGACATATAAAAATGGTATATATTTATCATGTACAGTCTGATGCTTTGAAATATGTAAGCACTGTGGAATGGCTTGATTGGGCTAATTAACATATATTCTACCTCACATACTTATCATTTTTTGCAGTGAGAAACCTATCTGGGTTTTTGATACATTTTCTTTCACTACATGTTGAAGAAACATAAGTTTAAGTAAAGCACAAAAAGACTTTGAAAACTATAGGAGAAGGTAATGAAGTTGAAAAGGTTTCCAAGAGAGCAAGCCAGAAGCTACAGGAATCAGTTTGGGCCAGAAGGCAACGAGCTAATCATGTTATTTAGCAGGAGCTACCTACAGAGTGTTATCAGAAACCATGAAAGAGCTGCAAAACAGAATATTAAAGCAACTCCCAACTCCTGCTTAAAATACCAACTTAAATTCAATACATTTGCTGATGATCCAGTGAGTCCCAGAGCTGGGAATGTTGATCTATGAGGTGCTAATCTGAACAAGGAAGTGCAAATAGCAATCTAGATCAAGTTGCTATCAGGGCAAAGGACACACTACCCAGCAGCCTCCTTTTTTCTCCTCATAGGTCTGTGGAAGACTGGAGGCATGCCTGTCTTAGTTGGGGAGCCTGGAGATCTGTCCTTTAGCAATTAATGACAAAGAAAGACGTTTATTGACCTTTGTTTGAGGCTTTACATTTCAGGCCACTCCATTCATTATGTAGAACATTAACTCCCTCTCTAAACTCTTTGAACACTTAGATGTTTAGGTAATGGATATGCTATCCACCCTAAGTGAATCATTGTACAATAATATATGCTATTGAGACAACACGCTGTACCCCACAAATATGCATAATTAAAAAAAAACAACCCTTAGAGCCACTTCTACATTATTTGGCATTAACACTCTGTAGTTTCATATTATTCTTTGATTACTTGATGCATGCAAATTTGCCTCTTCGTTGGGATCATAAACACCTTAAAGGCAAGTAAATCGACTGGAACTTCATTAGGATCTCTCCGAACACCTACACACTGCCGGGCACAGAGGTCGATCGACTTATCAACACAGGTCGATCGACTCTCAGGATGAGGTCCTGGCATACAGTTACAAGCATTGAAGCAATGTCAATTCCACATGCCAATCTCAGCCCAACTTCCTGGGAAGAGCACTGATGGAGAATGCAAGCTTAGCAATCTCTGGGAGCCACATCAGAGTGGAGAAACTTTGAATCCTATTTGTAAGGAAAATTGCTTACCACCTAGAGACTACAAGCTTCACCTGGTCAGGAATTATGTTTTGTTCTCTTCCCAGTACCTAGCACCTAGCAGGGGCTCAAAAAATATGTTAAATGGATGAAAAACATATGAAACCAAGTTTCTCCCCATTAGCCTCTTGGATCAGTGTTCCCACATCTTGTGTTTTTCTTCATTCATCATTTATAAGTAATCCCTAGAAGTTAAGAAGTTAAGGTGACTCTAGAAAACAAACCAACATGGCACCAAACATGGTACACAGGGAAGTGGTGGTGTTCCTCTTAGCCTTGCCCACAGGGGTGTGGAGGTGGGATAGGAGAGGTTGAGGGTCCAAGAAGAAGGTCACTGGCTCGCTAACCCTGGGTCTCAGGGTTTGCTGTGAAGGGACAATAGCTACTCTCCTCGAGAGAAATGGCCGGGTGTCAGATGGAGCTCTTGGCAGCCCCTAGGCCATGGAATGCTGCTCTGCATGGTCCCTGTCTGGCTGGCAGCTTCCTGCCAGGGACGGCTGCCAAGCAGCTTATGACAGCTGTGCAGTGCACAAGTCTCTAAGGTTCTTTGATGCACTGCCATTTCTGACCTGCTTGTCTGCTACTCATGGGAAGTAGCTGGGAAGTTCAGATGCTGAGGGACCCCATTTTCCATTGGCTTTCATTTTCAGCAGGATGCCTGCCTATCTTGTCCTTTAAGATGGTAGTCACTGGAAGATGGCTCTTGGCTTTTCTGGCCTATAGGTAACCTACTGATTCAGTTATGAAGGAGATCTCTATTTCACTCAGTTCCTGACCACTGTTGGGTTTTACTGAGAACACATAACCACACTTGTTTGCTAACATCTTATCACAGTAATTCACATCTGTCATGGACTACCTCTAGGAGAAATCACCTGTCTGAATAATTAATTAAAAAAATTAAAGATAACATTTGAGCCATTTACTTCTTTTGAAAAAAAAATCAACCTCTTATTGCTTATTATTTGGAAACTTAAGGGATTTTGGTAGGGGACCACCTTTTTATATTCTCCAAAAGCAGTTACTTTTACATATAGTCACTGATAAGTGAACTCATTTTTCCATCAGGACATGCATTAATGGTAACTTAGATTCTTCTCTGCAGTCAAAGGTGAAAGTTAAAACTGAATTTCAGACATTACCTTTTAGCATCATTCGTCCAGTGGATCCTCCAAAAGAACTGAGAAGGCCACTTCTTGCTCCTAAAGACGTAGTTGCTTCTAGGAGAGAACCGGTGATGTACTGAGATATGGAAGTCCTTTGGAGGGTGGCACGATACTCACATGTGGTGTCTTGGACACACTGCTTTAAGCACGGACCAACAGTAATCCTTCCATGGGCTGTCTCGGAGGCTGGGAGCTTTGTGAAGAAATGGAGAAGAGATCCAACTGTATCTTCTGTTTCTTCTCCCTTTCTCACTGCATTGTAGATCTGTGAATAGCACAAAGTACAGGAAGTATTAATCTAGTTTCTTAGAAAAGCAAATTAACTTGTTGACAGAATGCCAAGATGACTTATTAAGAAAGAAGGCTCAGTCGCTCTAAGCACAAACACTCTTGAGCACTGGACTCATGCATTAACCTGAACATTCTACAGACACCGTTTATTTGGAAAAGCTATGTGTAGTTATGAAATAGGCCATTCAAACAACCCCGCTATCAAACAGAGCACTTACAAGCTGTACCAACCAAAAATATATTCAGCTCAAGTTTCTCCTCCTGCTCAACAGAACAAAGCTCTTTTGCAGAGAGACAAGGGCAAACCTTTCCTTTTTGTTCTCTTGGACTCTCAAGAGTGTCCCAGGTCTGTCTGCCTCATGGAACACTTCAGTCTGACATTCATGGGGAAGCTTTTCTCCATGCTCAAACTCAAGTGAGGACGAGAGCATCATGGGTAAGGAGATTGTCTCTATTTCTCTCGTGGGCATAATCCTCCAATCCATCAGCTGAGATCAAAGTCTTTGAATCCTTTTTTCTCTTCCTCCTTCACCTCCCACATCCAAAGGATCCATTCCTGTCCTGTCTCTGTCACCATACTTATTTCCTCTCCTTTTATCACCTGAATTCACCAAGAATTAATTCAAGAAGATTAGACTATTAGAACAGGTTTCCAACCATGTCTCCAGTCCATTCTAATGCAATTGTTCAACATGCATTACACAGACCCTGCCCCATGCACAGCCTATAAAATTCAGTGTGACGGGTTATACCCTTGCTCTTATGTGTTGCTGGGCAATATCACCCTAAACTTATTTAGGTGTATTGTGAAGGCAAATAGGGATAGGGAGCTGCAGAGCATAGGACATGATTTTCTTCCCTCAGCTCCAAATCACACAGTTAATCCTCAACATACCAAGTCCCAAGCAAGTCCTTCAGAAGTAAATGCTCTAGAAGCTCAGGGAAAAGAACCCACAGTGAGGTTTGATGGCTAAGGAAGACTTAATAGGGAAGTTAGGGTTTGACTTGTACCTTGCAAAGCGGGCATGGCTCTAACTGGAGCAGCTGGGAGGCAACTAATGATGTAAGCAAGAGAGAAGAGGCTGGAAAGCACAGAATTTCTTCTAAGGACAGCCAGTAGCTGGGGCCTTTAGAGCAGATAGTAGGTGTGAGGAGTAACTGGGAAATGAGTAAGGGCCCTCAGCCTGATAAAGTAGAGGCTTGAAAGTGAAAGCAAAGAGCTTCAAACCATCAGAGGTGAGCAACCCTTGATGTTTTTTTGTTTGTTTGTGTTTAGCAGAGGAATGATGCTAAAAGGTTTTTTTTTAAAAAAAAAAGAAAGAAAGAAAGGTTACTCCGCCGCCTGTTCCGGGTTGCTGGTGGTTGGCCTGCTTGCTTTACCTCCCCAGCTGCAGTGCTGGCTCAGCAGGCCTCACTGGCTCCCTCATGCGTTCCAGCCTCCAAAGATTCCCAGTGGCTCATTCTGTCCCTTATCCAGCTTTCTAAGGTGTTCATCAAAACATCAGATCTACAAGGGATTGCAGGACCTAAGGAGTCCTTGATCATGGAAGTTTGAAAAACTCAGTAAATATTCCCCTGTTTGGACATTGCATAATAGAAAATTATAGACAATTAGAAGGGTCAGAGTAAAGAAATCTGTTTTATTTTGTTATAACTGAGTGTCTGAGTATTTCCCATATTATATGACCATGATTTTTTTTAAAAAAAACAACAGTTAGTCTGTAGATGCAGTGTTGTACCAAATGATTTGCTCTAATCTGATGGCCTTTTCTTATTCCCATCCTTGACCTCTGTGGAATCTCTGAAATACACAATCACCCATCCTACTTGAAGTCTTTCCTCTATTATTCACTGTTCCATCTCCGCCTTATTCTGTGTCTCCCCATAACTGGCCTTCAGGATAGTTATAATGCAATACAGAGGTGCCAAAAGTACCTGATGTAGGGGGATCACAAATTGGTTGGCCATGGGCCAGATTCAGCCAACAGATTGGTTTCATCTGACACATAGTGTTCTAAAATCAAGAAAGTTTACAAACACATTTGAAGTTACAGCATCTCCTGAAAAGTGGAACAATCTGGTAACACTGAGCATTCACACGTGGTGTCAGATGGCTAGACCTTCCACCGTTAGATGGAGTACAAGTTCTCCAGCTGGCACCAGTCCACAGCACTCGCTAGTTGATCATGCCTGGCCAGTATCTAGTCACCATTAGTATATGTGTTTGTGACCGCTGTCTTAATGAGCTATGGATATGGATGTAGATATATACAACACCAGGTACTGCACTACTCCAATGTGTCCTGTGTGTGCTCTTGCCTGTGCTAGTTTCTGAGAATACAGGGAAAGAGCCATAGTCTATGCTCTCAAAAGATGTTGCAAGTCACCTCCAAGAAACTATTACTAAACATATATAAATGTTATGTATATATTAAGTAATGACTCAGCATTGCCATCAGCCACTTGTTTCCAAGCCCCCAAACTTGTCTGAAGAAATAAAGGATGAAGTGCTTTAAGAATGAAGCTCTGAGCAGTCATTACCACTGCCGCACCCCCACCACAAAGAACCAGAAAGAGATCAAAAATTTCTACCAAGATCTGGACTAACACAACACAGTCCCACCAATATGGGCTGAGTGGAATTCAAGGTACTTATGGAAAAATGCTCAAGTGTGGACAAAGTGGTGGTAGACATGACTATGCTCAGGGAACATGTCAAAATTAGGTTATTATCTCTTATTGGATCACCCATGTATAACAAAGAAGAAATCATGGGAAATCCCACATATACATAGTGCATGAGAAGGCAGAATAGAACAGTCACAAGTGTGGCTCTGGAGCATTGAAGCTTCCCTGCTTCCCAGCTGTGTGACCGTGGCTTTGCCATTTTGTACCTCCATTTCCTTTTCTCCCATATGGGGAAACAATAGAATCTGCCTTATAAGGTTGTGGCTAAAATTACAAGCTTTGATACTTGTAATGTGACTAGAATAGCACCTAGAAATTAGTAAATGCTCATTAAATATTCATTTTTATGATGATCATAACAATGATGATTGTGATAGACTATAAAAATGGCCATAAATTATTTCCTTCACTCATTTGGGGCTGGCCTTGTGATTTGCTTAACCAGTGGGAATTTAACAAATGTAATACAAGCAGGGTCTTAAAAAATATTTGTGCACTGGAGCACTCTCTCTTGTTGCTTTGGGGAACTCTGCAACAACCATGTGAAGAAGCCCAAGCTAGCCTGCTGGAGGATGAGAGACCATGGCCCAGTCACCCCTGTCACCTTGGCTGATAGCAACAAGCCAGACACAAGGTGAGGCCATCCTAGATTCTAGACCACCCAATTGTCAGTCCAACCCCTACCACAGGTGCATGAGAGAGCCCAGCAGAGGACCCAGACTAGGAGGACAACCCAGCCAAGTCACAGGCTCATGGGCTAAATAAACTACTGTTGTGAGAAGTCACTAAGTTTTAGGAGTGCTTTGTTACAAAGTAAAAGTTAATTGATGCAATGATGATGTGTTGGACACAACAGTAAGTACGTTAATTACATAACAATTGAATCCACACAATTTAGGAGGCTGATTTATTTTAAGTAAGCCTAGGGAGGTAGAGAAATACAGTCAACTTTACACAGCTAGGAAGAGGCTAAGCTAGGATGGAAACCCAGGTTTCTATAGCTCCAACTCCGTGGTCCAGCTTTATCCCTTGCACTACATTTGTCACACTCACAGCCCAACAGTGGGAAAGATCATATTGTTATCTGGCAAGAGGTTTAAGTGATTCTTACACTGCTGCTATTGTTTTTATTCATGATAGTTCCTTTCATGGTCACCCTAAATTATTTTTGAAAATAGTCAAGTTATGACTAATGAATGACCAAATATGTTTCCTTTATATGGAGATTTACAGTTTTAAAAATATATAAGATTTATCTCACTTGATTAATGTGGTAATAGAAAGTGCTGAAAACTAGACAGAATACTGCCCTATATGGGCCAATATCTTTCCTGAAAGAAGGCAACATGTCACACACGGCATCCAAGACTGCTAAAAAGCTGTGTGTCCACTCAGTTATTCAACAATTAATTAATATTTACTGAGCACACACCTTGTGCCAAGCCCACTTGCTGAGTATCCAACAGTGAGGAAGAAGAGCTTCATTTTAGTGGAGAAGGCAGACAATAAACAAGAAGACCAAATAAGTGAATAAAAACTGCTGAGTATTATATATATAGTCTAGATGTGTTTTGGCTATAGATTCTATAGGATTTGCTGAAGTTGTCAGAAATAAGGAAAGGAAAAGAGTCAAGATTTCTATATTTGGTCATTGTTAAGTTCTTGTAGATTTAAGATTTACATAAAGAACTATAGATCAAGGCTGTAATCAGCACCCCTCACAGCTCCTAGGTTTAACCACCACTGTGAACTGTGAATGGATCCTTTCCACAGAATTATACTCCGCCCATCGTAGCAGGTACCGTGGGATGACATGGCTTGGAGTCATGTGAGCAAAATGACCTTGATACAATGAAGCTACTTACAGAAAAACAAGCAGTGCTTAGACAACACTTGAAGAAACACTTAAAAAACATTTGCAGTTCCTTGTGACTCAAGAAAGAGAGGTGCCTGTAGGAACCAACACTGGGACATGGAGTTCAGGCCCAAAACAAAATAAAACAAACAAACCGAGGCTGAAGAGAGCCAGGGTAATTCATACGGAGAGAAAGCCTTTAATGCGCTAAAAGGCATGAAGCAGCCAGACACACCACAGCCACAGCACTCACCCAGAAGGAAAGCTCTTCTTCTTTCTGTACAGCCAGAAAGAAAAGGCTTTGTCTTGACTTGACTTCTACTGGAGTCAAAGAGGGTATTGTCAAGGGGAGTCAATCTCGTACTTGTTCTGTTACAAAAGCTGTCTTTCTGAAATCACAGTTATGGAAAATTATGATGTTCCAAGATCTG